CGATGGGCTCGCCCTCACTGGCCCTCAGTCACTTGTGCTGCGGCTTGTGTGAGCGACACTGCTCGGCGACTGCCGGCACACTGTGAGACCATGGGTGTGAGGTTAAACCACGCTACCAGCGCTTGGTCACATCGGCCCCGAGGTCAGATCCTTCTACTCTGTTGATGACAAGACTTGTCTACTGGCTGGAGCCGAGCAGGAGGGCCCAGCGCACAACCCCTGGTCAACTCACGGTCCACACCCCGCTAGAGCTGTGCGCTGACGAGTGTGTGGAGGGTGGCACCGGCGTCCGAATTCAGACGCCCCTCCCGCAGCCACAGCCGTAGCCGCAGCCCCAACTCTTGCTGCTCTTCTGAAGTCTTGAAGACTCTTCTCTAGGTGTCGGGTAGTCGCGACCCCAGCACCAGGTGAGGGGACGGATTGAAGATCCCTCACGCCAGATCGTGCAGGGCGGGGACACAGTCCCTAAATCCCATCTCGTCTCAGAGTTTGTGTTTGACCGTTTCCCGTGCGATCTTTGTGCAGGGTTCTTTTTGTGGGGGAGGCGGGGCTCGTTGTGCGAGTATATGGGCCACGATGTCTCAAATATGAGGGGTTTTGACTCCTACCAGCTCCTGACGCTATCCCTGGCAGCTCTAATGGCCAGGATCAGTAGTGTTGTGATAGAGGGTGCCCATACTAGCGCAGGAGCTGCCACACTCGCCCGGACCGTCCCCTTCTGGGGCCGGTTCCGCAGCCCGCGAGAGCCGACCGCGGGGCTGTGCCGCGGGTGCCTACTGCCGAGTGCCACAAACACTGCGCCGTCCCGCCATCTTTGGCCCATATAATCGCACAACATGCCGCGGGGGCTTTTTGCTTAAGAAAATTCTCCTCAGAATTTCGTTGAAAAGAAAAAAATCACGCGGAAGTGAGAACCGAGTGGAGCGTCCAGTCGACGGATCGTGCCGACAGCCTCCATCATCAGCGCCAAACAGCCATGGCAAAAGCCGCAGTGTGTCTCGATCCTGCACTCAAGCTACGCTAAACACACTCTGAAGACTGAAGGCCACACAGTCGGACTCACAAAAGACGAGAGCGGGGAAGGCGTCGAGAGCGTTGTGTCGGAGCGGCGGCGCGTGGCGCCCGCGGCGCGCCCACAAATACGAGACCACAATAGAAGAAGCAGACCGGCTCCCGAAGGGAAAGTACAGGGCCTGTGCACAGCCGCGCCGGCTGCCGGGGCGCGCCGCGCGCGTGCCGCGGGCCAGCTGGCGGGCGGCGGCGCTAGTTGTTTGAGCCGGCGGCCGCGGGGTAGGCCATCTTGGTCTGCCCGGGGCCCTGCTGCGCCACCGCCTCGGGCACGTCGCCCAAGTACTGCTCAAAGTTTTTGTTGAAGAGGGCGGCGAGCTCCTTCGAGGTCGCCTCGAAGTCGGCCTGGCTCTCCCACGAGGCGGCGGGGTTGAGGAGCGAGTCGGGCACGCCCTTCACCTTGGTCGGGTACTTGAGCCCGAAGAAGGGCTCCGTGTCGCAGTGCGCGTTCGCAAGCTCGCCAGCGTGGATCGCGTCGACGATCGCGCGCGTGTACTGCAGCGGGCAGCGCCGCCCCTTCGCCGCGCCGCCGACCCAGCCGGTGTTGAGGAGCCAGGCGTTGGCGCCGTGCTGCTTCAGCCGCTCAGCGAGCATCGTGCCGTACTTGATCGGGTGCCACACCAGGAACGGCTCGCCGTAGCACGCGGAGAATGCGGCGACCGGCTTCGTGATGCCCTCCTCGGTGCCGGCCATCTTTGAGGTGTAGCCAGCGATGAAGTGGTAGATGACCTGGTCGGGGGTGAGCTTGGAGATGGGGGGCAGCACGCCGTACCCGTCGCACGTGAGCAGCACCACGTTCTTCGGGTGCCCGCCCACCGCCGGCGACTTTGCGTTTGGGATGTACGAGAGCGGGTACGCGCAGCGCGTGTTCTCGGTCACCGAGATGTCGTCATAGTCGACGGAGCGCGCGTCGAGGTCCATGATGACGTTCTCGAGGACGGAGCCGAACCGGACCGCGCCGAAGATCTCGGGCTCCTTCTCCGCCGACAGGCCCACGCACTTGGCGTAGCAGCCGCCCTCGACGTTGAAGACTCCGCGGTCGGTCCAGACGTGCTCGTCGTCGCCGATGAGGTTGCGGCGCGGGTCGGCGGAGAGGGTGGTCTTGCCGGTGCCCGAGAGGCCGAAGAAGAGGGTGACGTTGCCGTCGGCGTCCTCGTTGGCCGAGGAGTGCAGCGGCAGCTGCTTGGCGAGCGGCATCGTGTACATGACGAGCGTGAGGATGCCCTTCTTCATCTCGCCCGCGTACTGCGTGCCGAGGATGACCATCTCCATGCGGCCGAGGTGGAGGTCGACGGAGCAGGAGGAGGTCATGCCCTCGACGTACCGGTTGGCCGGGAAGCCGCCCGCGTTCAGGATCGTGAAGTCGGGCACGAAGTCGCCCTCCTCGCGCTCGTCCTCGGGCAGCTCCTCGGGCATCACCAGCATGTTGCGCATGAAGAGCGCGTGGTAGGCGAGGGCGCAGACGACGCGCACGCGCACGCGGTAGGCGGGATCCCAGCCGGCGTACCCGTCGATCACGTACACCGACTTGCGCGTGTTGAGGTAGTCGATCGCGCGCTCGCGGTTGATCATGAAGGCAGGCTCGGTCATCTTGATGTTGACGCGGCCCCACCACACGTTGTCCTCCGAGCCGGGCTCGGCGACGACGCGCTTGTCCTTGGGCGAGCGGCCCGTCTTGGCGCCGGAGCGCACCACCAGCGCGCCCGAGTCCGCGAGGTACGAGTCGGGCATGGTGTTGAGGGCTTCCTGCAAGGAGGCGGCACGCGCGGTCGTGAGGCGCCGGGAGAGGGAGGGCTTCTCGCCGGCGAATGCGGGGTGGACGGGGCGCGGGAGGGGCGACGGGGCCGAGTGTGGGCCGACGCGGCGAGCAGGCGCGCGGCGGGCGCGTGGTGACTGCCTGGACGAGCGCGGCTGAGCAAGCGTTGACGACAATCTCCTGCTGCTTCTCGTTGATGTCCTCCTTGGCGGAGAACTTTGCAGAGCGCGAGTTCTTGTTGAAGGCCTCGACGACGGGGTCGACCTTGGACGGCGTGGAGCCGGCGAGCAGCGATTGAACCGAGGTGAGAGGCATCTGGACGGGAGCGTGCACGCCTCCTGAACTCTGGGGAGACGACGAAACCTCAAGGTGGGGCTCCCGAGCGCAATCAGGGCCTTACCCCTAGTTGCCTCGTACCACCGGTAAAAGAGACTGAGAACTTGGATTTGGGGTATACGCAATCAAGGGGCTGCCTAGAATGGTCGTACACGGCCTCATCACATCCTCCCCGCGCCCCCTACAACTGTAGCGCCCCCCCCATGGATGGATGGAGTTTCTGAGAGTGTGACTGTGTGAGAGCGCAGAGAGAGAGAGAGAGAGAGAGAGAGAGAGAGAGAGAGAGAGAGAGAGAGAGAGAGAGAGAGAGAGAGAGAGAGAGAGAGAGAGAGAGAGAGAGAGAGAGAGAGAGAGAGAGAGAGAGAGAGAGAGAGAGAGAGAGAGAGAGAGAGAGAGAGAGAGAGAGATTAGTTTTTTTGTGTGTGAGAGTGCCCCTTAGATTTGTAGCAACAACTCTATTCATATGTTGTGGCTAGGTAGGATTCCTATGACACCTACATACAAACTCTCTCTCTCTCCTTCCCCAACTTCACAACGTCAACCGACAAACCACAACTTTGGCGGCACGTCCCCCTCTCCCACTTGGAGGGCGAGGAGGGAGGCAGGAGGAGGGTGGGGTGGGGTGGGTGGGTGGGGGGGGTCGTTCAGGCTTTAGAGGGAGCGGACCGTGAGTTGAGGAAATCCGGGGACGCGACCCACCTGTGCCGCGCAGTTCGATGGGAAAGACAACTACCATCAGACTGCCGAGTGGCTCACCAAATTCGGCATCTTGCGCGTGCACTGGACGCTCGAGTCAATGCACGGCAAAAACATCTGCGATGCGCTGAGCAACCTGCCGTCGAACGCGATCACTGAGGCGATCCGGTCGGGCAATTTCATATTCTCCGCACTCCGGCTCTCGCAACGTCGTCCTCTATCTCGCCAAGGCACGAGCGACCCCGGCTGTCGCGAAGTCGTTCAAGGAGGGCTGGTGGGCGATCGAGCGCATCTTCTACGGCTTCTTTCAGCACTCCAAGTTCACCGCCCTTGCCGTCCCCAAGGCTGATGGCTTCAACGGCTCACACGACGTCCACATGTTCGCGGGGGATTGCAAGGATGCGGCCGCCGCGCGGAAGGATGGGCTCCTGACCACGTACGCTAGTATTGAGCCGTGTTGTGCTGATCGTGCCGTGCCGTGTAGTGTGCCGTGTGTTGCCGCACGTCACACGCCCCTCCTGACCCCCGCACCGGCTCCCTGTCACAGGCGCGGTATTCCGTGCGCGTGCCCGCCGTGCATCGCTCTTCTTTGGGGGGACTGCGAGATGGTCGCCGTCTTTGGCAGGGTCAAGAAGCAGAAGGCGCCGCGTGCCGCAGGCGAGACGGCCGAGCTGCGGCAGATGGAGTCGCTGGAGGTGTGGGCCGCGTCGCTCAAGGCGAAGCAGCTGGCCGCTGTCCGCGCAGATCGGCGCGAGCAGTCGCTCGAGGGGCTCTACTGGCTGGCGGTGCTCAAGGGGAAGGCGTACACGCTGGCCGAGGACACGGTCGTCAACACCGACACCATTCCCGCGGGCTATCTCGTGGTCAAGGCGCAGTGGCTCAGGCTCGAGCAACGCGAGTGCGAGGGCAAGCTTCGCTCCTACACGCTGCTCGAGGCCGAGACGCTCATCATCGTGAATCACATGGTGCGGCTGGCGGGCTTGCGCTTCTCGCCCGGCCCGGGCGGCCCTGCGGACCGCCAGCTGAGGAGCGCGCGCGAGAAGCTCTATATTGGCCTACAGACGCATTACTCGCTCGAGGCGTGCTGCAGTGAAGACCAGTCTTATGGTCCACACCCCGTAGCAAAAACGTGTGTGAGCGTGTGTTTGTCGTAAAAACGCTAAGATGTAAGAAAACGGGGGAGCCGCGGAGACCGGAGACCGAGGGGCGAGCTTTGAGGACGGAGGAGAGCGAGGTGCGTGGTCCGTCAAGAACAAGAGATCAGTGAACGCGCCCAATACCAATCCCGCGCCGTTCACGGACAGTGGTGTTGTCGTCAAAACGAAAACCATGACACCGCGAGGACGGCCTGGTGGCTGGTGTGAGACTTTCTCACCTGGTTTCCCGCTTCGCCTTGGCCGCCGCGCGCTTCTCCACCGCCGCGTGGGACATGCACTTTGAGCCGCGAGCGACGTGGCGCGCGTCCTTGAGCCCGGCAGAGTCGCTGAGAGCCGGCGCGCCCTCGCCGGCCACCGGCGCGCCCTCCGCCGGCGCCGCCGCAGCCGCTGCCGCCGCCGGCGCTACTGCCATCCGCGCCGCCCTCGCCGCCACCGCCGCGTCCGATGGGCGAAAGACCGCCGGCGCCCCGCCAAGGCCGACGGCCGCGCGCGTCGCCACAGCCCCGCGCCAAGCGCCCGCGGTCGGCGGCGGCGCCGCGCTCGCCGCCTCCGCCGACGCATCGTCCCCTGATGCCGACGCATCGTCCCCTGCTGCCACCGACTGGGCGAGAGGCGCGAAGTCCACGAGCTCGCCAGCCTCGCTGTCCAGGTCGGAGCACGAATCGAACGCGTCTGCAAACGAGGACGCCGCGTCCGAGTCGGCCTCCACCGCGTCGCTTGAGAGCAGCACCCACCCCAGGGGCGCGCGCTCGGCGGCCAGCGCGGGCCACTCAACATCGCCGTCGAACTCCTCCGAGATGGCGCCGAGCAGCAGCTCCTGCCCCGCGCAGAGCATGGCGGACTCGTCGCGGGTGGCTGGCTCGGGCTCGACGACCTTCCAGGAGCCGTCGAGCCAGATGGGCCGCCTCGCGACCACGACGCGGGCAACCTCGCCCAGCATGGCGGTGCGGCTGGAGCGAGGTGCCGCCGCCTCGCCCTCGCCCTCGTCGGCCGCGTCGCAAGAGGCCGGCGCGGCGGCCCTGGCCAGAAAGTCAAGTTGCGCCTCGATGAGTCGCTCCGTGCCCGTGCGCTTGTGCATTTCGGCCACGTCGCTCACGTTTAGCCCCGGCTTCTTGTTTGCTCGAGCGGCGGCAGACTCGCCGGCCGTCTTGCGCCGATACCAAGGGTGCGCAGGGCCCGAGGGCCCGTAGCGGCCAGAGAGGCCGCTGCGATGGCCAGACAGGCGCCGCTCGAGCCGCTTGGACGCCTTCGCCCGGCCGCTCTGCGGCTGAGACGGGATTGAGCGCTGGGCGGCAATGGGACGAGCCACTGCCCACGAGCCAGCAGACCACCACATCGCTCGTCCCCCAGGACCGCCGAGCCACAGGTTGTGCTCGGGCATTGGCGTCCACCCGTTTGTCGACAGCAGCTTGGCAACGCCGGCGTGGCCCCGCACTTGCGCGTAGAAGATGGCGGACCTCCCCTCACTGTCGGGCGCGTTGGGGAGCGGCGGCGAGTCTCCGGCTAGCAGGGTGGCGCAGCGCTTGATGTCTCCCTCCGCCGCGGCAGCGTGGAGCTCCGAGTCGACCATATATGTGGTGAAGCTGTCCAAGAAGGTCGCGTCCAGCTCCTGTCGCGCCGAGTCTTCCTTGACAAAAAAAATGGCCTTTTTTCGATGCCAATCATCCGGCCCGCTGGGTGCGCTTCTGAGCTCCCCGGCCCTGGATGTGCGGTTGATAATTGCACTCCAAGTGCTCCAAGTTTCAGCCCGGAACCCGACACCGATCATCCGGCTCGCTGGGGGTGCGCTTCTTAGCTCCCCGGCCCTGGATGTGTAAAGACGGTCGACCATATGGTGGTGAGCTGTCCAAGAAGGTCGCGTCCAGCTCCAAGTACCAAGAAGGCCGGCTCCTCTCGACAAAAAAGTCCGGGTGATATCTCCCCGGCCCTGCACGGCACAGTCGCTGGACGCTGGTCTGGTGGCTGCCAGCCCGACTCTGGGGAGGACACCGGTAACTTTTGCAAATTTTCATTTTCTCACGGACCAGGTGTAGATTCTTTTTGCTTGGGCGGCACTCATGATGAAATTCTGGAAAAACCCGGCCGGCCTCTCCCCTGCCCCTACCTACCTACCTTGAGCACTTGAGCACTGGATAGGGTCGATTCCGCATGGTACGGGACCCCTCGATCGTCTCACCCTCCCTCGCTGGTGTGCTCATGGGGGGGGGTCATAACAAACACGGTCCAGGATCGAGGTGCACGCCGCCGAGGGACCTCGGAGGGTAGATCGGGCGGTGTCGTCCCCCCTCTCCATCATCTCCGCGGAGATGTCGTCGGTGGTGGCGGTTGTGACCGATCGAGCTACAAGAGGAGCTTGTTCAGCAGGATCTCTCTGACATTGGGTTAGTCTGGCGCACTACCTCACTGGGCCTGAGACCGCCAACGACGCTTCCCTTCACCGTCTCGGGTTTATGTGGAGTCGAACCACTCCGGGATGGGCAAGCCCATCAAGTCATTTTCGTCAAAGTAGAGCTCGAGCAAGATGTTCAGCTACCTACCTACCTACCCTACTTATGGGAAACTAAAAAAGAAATCACTGGATGGGTGAAGGTGGGGTACCATACCAACTAAAGTGATGGTTGGTGGTACTCTCCTGCAACCACAGTCCTTCCTGTGACATGGCAGGCCACTCTCAAGGGTGAAATTCTCAAAAAGGTGCAGCACTTCTAGCCGACATCGACAAAAGTCCCTCTAGCCCCGCGGCGAGCGGCCCCGCCGGAGGCGAAGAAAATTTCGCCATCTAGCGCTCGCAACACATAGATTTGTGCATAAATCAACACCTCCAATCTTCGGGGGAGTGACGGATAAAGGCGTGCGAAAGAGCTATGAATCCGAAAGCAGCGAATCCAAGTGATGGCCCGCCGCAGGCGAAGAAAATTTAGGGTTCGGGTTCCCCTACAACTGTATGCCAAAGAACTCTGAGAGGATTTCGGCGGCTGGCGCGCCGAGGCACAGCGGTTCGCGCTGCCTGCTCGCGCTGGTTACACCGTTGCTGTGGCCGTCTTCGTCCGTATTGTACACCGAGCTGGCGCCACAGCAGAGTACAACAACGGCTCGGACGAACTGCTCCACGGTACTACATCATCAGAGGGCCCGGCAAGGTCCACGGCGGAGCTGGCGGTGGTGGGAGTGGTGGTAGGAACGAAGGCGCACCTGTCGGCGATTCACCGCCGTTCGTTCCCGTCTCTCAAAGCTGGTTACACCGTCGATGCGCACATCGAGGCGCTCGTGGACGAGAGAGACGTCGCCTCCTCTTTCGTCCCGGGGCACTGTTCACGCCGGAAGGCCCCGTACACTGCCAAGTACATTAGCCTTCATCTCTCCTACCGCCGGCCGGGAGTGCAGCCGCCACCAGTGAGATTGTCCTCGACGTTGGCACCTGCGAAGTAATGAACAACAGGCAGTGCGTCATATGGCGCTATGATAGCCCTGCGGTGGACGTCCTCGACGCAGACGAGGCGGAGCTCATCTGCGCGGCGCAGATCGCCGACTGTCTCTCCCTCCCTGCGCGAGTGGTTGCACCACCCTGGATGAGGCATCTGGGCTGGGGCAGGGCCGTTAGTAGAGGAGGGCGACTGAGGGCGCGAGGCCGCCAATCGTCAAAGTCTGCTGCGACTGACTGTCGGTCACTGACTGAGCAATGAGCAATCGCATCGGCGGTTTCACTCACGCTCACAATCGGGTTACATCCAGGTCTCTGTGCGGGATGTGCTGGGGGGCTGCCCCCCAGTCGATTGCCGCATAGTTCGTCGATGTAACCCTACCAGAAAGCTGTATTCACACCTACCCTTCCAAAAAAATAAATGTCGCTGCTTTTGTCGAAGATCCGGCGGGTTTATCGGAGCATCACCCTCAAGCCCTACAAGCACCAGATCATCCATTTGGGAAGGGTAAAAGAAAGAAAGAAAACGGACAACCCAAGGGAGGGATGGGAGGACGGCGGCACGCCGCCACCACACAGGGATTTTAAGGAGAGGGGTGTGGTGCGCTAGCCGTCGCCCACCCTTGGGCGTCCGCCTCTTCCTATCTCTCTTCGCAGTCTCTCGCCGATTCTCGCTGCAACCTTCATGCCACCTCGCGGTCGTCCCACTCTCGTCGTTCTCTCCCTTGTCGCTTCTTCTTCTGTCGCGTCGCTCTCCTCTGCCTCGTTCTGCGACGCCGCCGCCGCCTGCCGGTCCCTTGTTCTCGCTGCTTCTCTCGCCTTTCGGCGCAACTCCGTCCTCCTCGCTGCATATCCTGGCCCCTCGAGTCTATCGAGCTCTCCTCGAGCAAGGACGAGTCTTCTGACGCCCACTGCGATCATTTGCCACCCAGTCATATCATTGCTCAGGTCCACTCTCTCTTCGAACACTTGTGCCTCCACGCGGATGATGCCGGCGCTGGGGTCCCCTTCGGGTGCATCGTGACGGCTGACAACGGGATTTCCACTGGTTCGTCCTCCTCGGAGTCGTCTTCCCCCTCTTCCTTCCGCTCGGCTCTACGTTCAGTACGTTCGGCGTGGCTCACCCTCCATGCTGTGAACAGGCGCTTTATCCACCCTATATTCTTCTCTCGTTCCTCTGCCCGTGCCTTGGTCTTGTCGTTGTTTCGCACCCATGTCTGTATGGCAGTCGAGGCTGCCTTCCCCACTACCTGTAGTTCACTCGTCACCTCTCCCCCGCGAGCTGCCCTCTCTTTCTTTCGGGTATGGGGTCCGTCGGCGTCCGCCGCTGCCGCGCTGCTCTCCTCCACCTCCTCCTCTCCCGCCGCCGCACCGCCGTCCGCCATCTCGACGTCCGCCGCGGCGGGCGGGGCGGCCGCCTCCTCGCCCGTGCCGCCGGCGCCACCCCCGCCCTCGCCCCCGCCCCCGCCCTCGCCCCCGCCCTCGGCGGGCGGGGCGGCACAGAGCTCACCTCCGAAGGGTTGTCCGTTTTCTTTCTTTCTTTTTCACAACATCACATCCTCCCTGGCTTTTCAGTTTTGTTTCTGCAAAAAATTCTTTTACACTTGGGCACGGACTGGCGCGCACTGGCACTAACACGCCAAAAATATTTCTTATTTTACCTAGTCTTTTGCATAGCTCATGGCACATGGGCATGGGACTGGCGCGGACTGAAAAAAAGTACTCTCGCCAGGACCCAGGTAGGGTAAGGGGTAAGTTAAAGGCCTCCACACACACAAAGTCGACAGTGGTGCGGCTAGGGGGGGCAACCCTCGCATCTCCACGCCCGGACACGGGCAGGAGCCCCACGGCATTCCCCGGCATTCCCAGCAAGGCCCAGTGCAAGTGGGTGAGCAGACATGCTCCTGCGCCCCACTCCCTCCCTCCCAGACACAACCCGCACACAATGACTCCCCGTCCGCGCCGCACAAGAAATGTTGAGTCTCAGCGGCCGTGGCCAATCAGCAGGAGCAGCTCTCTATGAGCGCTCCTGGGCCGCATCCGCCGCAACCCTGGCTGCAACCGCCCTGGCCATCGACGCGGCCGCAGCGGCACCTCTCGCCTCCGCAGCAGCCGCCGCCTCCTCGAGCGCTGTCTCGCTCCCCTCCAGCGCCGTCTCGCTCCCCTCCAGCGCCGACCCGGTCGCGCTCAGTGCCGCCGCCGCCTCCTCCAGCGACGCCTTGATTTTCTCAAACGCAGCCTTGGCCTCTCCATGCGCCGCCCTGGCCTCCGCATGCGCCGCCCTGGCCTCCGCCCTCGCCACCTCGGCAGCCGCCAGCGCCGCCACGGCAGCCACCTCCTCCGCCTTGTCCGCCTCCGCCTCCTCCTCCGCCTCGTCCGCCTCAGCGTCCAATCGCACAGCCTGCGCCACCTCTGCCGACGCCGCCGCCTGGCTCGCCGCCGTGATGCCGAACCGGATCCGCTCCTCGTGACACTTCTCGAGAAGCCTGATCATTCTCTCCTCCTCGGCCTTCTTTGCGGCCTCGGCTGCCTCCGACGGCGCCTCGGCACCCACCTCCGCCTCCTGCGACGGCCCAGCCGCGCCCGCCTCTCCGCCCTTCTTCTTCTTCTTGCCCTTCTTGCCCTTGGCGCGCTTCTCCGCCTCGACCTCCGCCAGCAGCTCGTCGGCGTGCCGCGCCGCCTCCTTCTCCTTCGCCGCCCTCTCTGCCGCCCTCTCCGCCGCCCCCGCCGCCCACGCCGCCTCCTTCGCCGCCTTCTCGGCCGCCACCTCGGCCGCCGCGTGCTCCTCGAGGGCACGCGCACACTCGGTGTGGCCCTTCTCCTTGGCGTACTGCAGCGCGGTATTGCCATCCGTAGTGCACAGCGTCGTGTCAGCGCCCGCCCGCAGCAGCTGACGCACGACGGTGGGGTGGCCGTAGTAGGCGGCGAGAATCAGCGCGGTGTCGCCCTCGTTGGCCTGCAGGTTGATCTCTGCGCCGTGCCGAATGAGCGTGTCGACAATCCGCTCGTGGCCTCTGAAGACGGCATCCATCAGCGCAGTGCCGCCGTTCCTGTACTTCTGGTCGACCCCCGCGCCGTGCCGCAATGCCAGCTCGACCAGCTTCTCGCGGCCGTTCACGGCAGCGACAATCAGCGCGGTGCCGCCGTCGCTCTTCTGCAACGAGACATCCGCGCCGCGCCGCAGAAGCGCCTCGGCCAGCTCCTCGTGGCCTTTGAGCATTGCGACCATGAGCAGCGTCATGCCGCTCACGCGAGTGCCGGCACCAAAGGTGTACTCGAACGTCGCGTCGACCCGCCCGCCACCGTCGAGCCACGCCAGCACCGGCGACTCGTCGCCTCGCCGAGCCGCCAGCACGACCTCCTCTGGCACCGCCCCGCCGCTCGGCTCGGCCTCCACGCCGCCCTCGCCGCTCGAGGCAGAGGCCGCAGCACTGGCGCCCGCCTCTGCCTCGCCTGCGGGTGCGCCGCCCGCCCCTGCGCCGCCCGCCTCGGCCGACGGCGCCTTGCTGCGAGCTGCCGTCACCTCCCCGAGATACGTCCTGAAGGCCTCGACGCACTCGGTGTGGCCCTCCTCCTTGGCAATCTGCAGCGCTGTCTCACCGTCCACGTTGCGCAGCTTCATGTCTGCGCCCGCCCGCAGCAAGCGAAGCACGACGGTGGGATGGTTGTGGATAGCGGCGAAAATCAGGGCGGTGTCGCCGTCGTTGTCCCGCAGGTTGATCTCCGCGCCGTGCCGGACCAGCGTGTCGACAATCCGCTCGTGGCCTTGGTAGACGGCGGTCATCAGCGCAGTGCAGCCAACCTTGTTTCCCTGATCGATCTCCGCGCCGTGCCGCAATGCCAGCTCCACCAGCTTCTCGTGGCCGTTCACAGCGTGGCCGTTCGCGGCGGCGAGACCCAGCGCGGTGCCACCGTCGCTCTTCTGCAACGAGACATCTGCACCGCGCCGCAGAAGCGCCTCGGCCAGTTCCGCGTGGCCATTGGACATTGCGATCATCAGCAGCGTCATGCCGCTCGCACGGTAGCCGTCACCAAAGGTGTACTCGAGCGTCTCGTCGACCCGCCCGCCGCCGTCGAGCCACGCCAGCACCGCCCCCGCTTGGCCATCCGTGGCGGCCTCCCGAATGCTTGCGGGGACGTCGCCGCCGCGCTCCGTGGACGGAGGAGGCGGCGCGCGGCGCGCGGAGCTGGCGCGGGCGGGCGAGGCGGACATTGGTGAGATCAAGAAAAGAGGCGGCGGACCGTAAGGGTGGTTGAGGGGTTGAGGGTTGAGGCCCCCCCTCAACCATCTGGTTGACGGTTGAGACCCCCCGTCAACCCTTTAGTTGGGGGTTGAGGCCTCCAGGGCCTATTCACAGGCTCGCGCGTGATCACAAGATAAACTGGAACAGCCCCTGCCGCCAAAAAAACGCTTCGCCTGCGGCGCGCTCTTGCGCTCCTCGGACCTCGAGCGCAATCCATAAGTAGGAGACGCTCACTGTCGCCATTCAGGCGCCTGATCTTTCAGCAAAGCGATGGCCTACCAGGTACGAGTTCAGATGCGCGCCCGGCAGAAGACGCGTGTGATGCCGCATGCAGTGGAATGCGCACAGAGAACGGACGGCAAGAGAAGGCAAGGGAAGGAAGAGAAACGGCTGGTGAAGCTCAGTTCACGGCGTAGTATTGCGGTCACTAACCATCCACGGCAAGAGTCACGGGTGAATGCTGCCGCATAAAAGCAACAGAGTCGCGCTTGGCGCGATGGTCTTGTCGCGGTTCACGACTTGACGTTGCACACGGTCATAGGATCTATTTGGCGAGTCTCAAGCAGCAAAAGTAGGCGCGAGAAATTAATGTTGATCCTGAGATCTCAATTTTGGCGCTAGTTTCGTTTTCTGGTACATCACGACGACTTGCTTGGGTCTCATGTAGCTCGACGGCTCTTGGACCATGGACGGCTCTTTCTGGTTGGATCAGACAGTGCTATCAGTCAGCAACGAACGCAATGCCGAGAGCAGGGCGGCCTTCGAGGAGGGTCAACTAAGCTCCTGCTGCATATCGAGCATGGAAGGCGGCCATTGCTCAAACCTGTTCGAGTTGGCCTCCGGGAACAAGGGTGCGTGGCCGGCGCGGTCTGTTTCACGTGCAATAAGGGCAACGCCATCAAAATCGCGAACATGACTCATGGCGGGCCGACATGCCTCCGACATTTCTCAGGGCTCGGACGGAAGCTCTGCAGACAGCCAGACCGCTCTGCGCGGTCGGACCGACTTTGTCAGACTTTACTATTCTGGATACTGTGAGGGTATGTGCTGCTAGATCTCACTGAGCTGAGCTCGTATCTGCCTTTTGGTAAAAGCAGTTTTGAGTTCGGTAATGTCTCCGGAGACGGAGGGCCGCGTCCGCGGACGGCCATGACTCGGCCGGGACCGCCCCGTGGGGGCCTTCGATGGCTGTCAGCGCTCCTCCGGGCTTTGCATCACACCTCCCATTCACGCACGTAGCTGAAGCAAGTACTCGTAAAAACGGCGCGTCAAATGCAGCATCCAGGCGTCTAAAGAAGACGACATGAATCGTCACAGAGAATGTGTGTTCAGACCTTGCGCGGGGGGTGTGAACAGCCATTCCGCGTGGTTGAGGGGTTGAAGGGGTCTGTCAACCACTTGGTTGAGGGTTGAGGCCTCTGTCAACCACGTGGTTGACAGTTAAGGCAATCGGCCTCAACCACCGCTATGAGTAGAAGGCAGGAGTGGCGCGCCGCCGGCAAATTCTTTTCCCGGTCTCGTCCCGCGACGCCAGAACTCGCCGTGAGCCGCGCCACAGCGCCACAGGTTTCGAGCCGTCGGCGGCCGCGACATTCGCTCCCACTCCGCCGCTCCAGCCTGCCAACGCCGACGATGAGGGGCCGCTGCCGCTCTCAGCCTCCCGTCCGATGCTCGCTCCGCTGGCGCGCCGGAGGCGAGGCGCGAGTGGTGAGGCCGAGTCGTCAGAGGCGTGGCCTCTGGGATCACCGGCGATGTCGACGATCCGCGGGTGGGTCGCCGGCGCCACCAGTCCTACCGGCCCTCCGCCACCCGCCGCGGGCTACTCCTCCACCGCGGCCCTCGGCCTCACCGGAGGCGGGCCGAGCCCTCCCGGCGGCGGAGGCGGCGGTGGGCGCGGCAGCGGCGGTGAGGCGGAGCGGCGTGTGGGCAGAGGCGCACGCGATTGTGGCGCAGCTGTGGGGTGGAGAGTTCGACCCGATGCACGCCGACGTCGGCGGGCGGCTCGTGCGGCTGATGGCGGCGCAGCCGGCGGCGCTCTTTGCGATCCGAGGGCCTAACTTCAGAATCGTGCTTTTTTGGGTTAGGGACGAGCGCGAAGGACCGATTGCGGTGAAGGACCGCAGGTTAGGGACCGATCGCCGCCGCTCACGCCAGCGGACGGTCTTCGTCAGTGATGTTAGCTACGCCACCGTCTACCTCGTGCGCAATGCGCTCGCCGGCATCGAGCGAGCAACGTGTTCGACCGAGCGGCTTGCTGTGCGGACGGCTTCTTGTGGCTCTCGTCGAGAGCGTTTTGCGGCCCGGCGGGTGGGAGAGCATGTGTCGTCTGATGTGTCACTGTGTACGTCATATCAGTCTTGATAACAAGTACGGTCGATCCGTCAAAGCGATACACTCGTCACGTCACGTTGGACGGCTTGCACAGAGCTCTGTGCCGGCACGCATCAGGAAGACCGCCGTACGGCAAGAAGAGCTCGATGGGGAGCGAGAACCGTCAGAGGTGCTCACGGAGGTTTCGGAAGTCCGCCATGGTGCGGTCAGTTCCCCCCAGGTTTGACTGCATAGGTCGCGGAACTCGTTGAGTACTCGCAGCCTTTCTGCGCCTCCGTCTGGGCATATCGGCTGCTCGGCAAGAGCAGTCTTTCCGGAAGATATCGACGGTTTTCGAGAGCCACCCGCTTGGGAGCGATTGAGCGCGTCACGGAGGACTTCAGGTTACCCTTGAAGCTCCTCTGACGGTTCTCGCTCCCCATCGAGCTCTTCTTGCCGTACGGCTCGGTTCCTGTTGCTGGCACAGAGCTCCCGTGCCAGCCGTCCAACGTGATAGGAACGGGTGTATCGCTTCGACGGATCGACCGTGCTTATTATCAAGACCGATGTGACGTACACAGTGACACATCAGACGACACATATTCTCCCACCCGCCGGGTCGCAAAACGCTCTCGACGAGAGCCACAAGAAGCCGTCCGCACAGGAAGCCGCTCGTCGGACAGGCGTGCTCGCTTGATGTCGGCGAGCGCATTGCGCACGCTTTGAACGGTGGCGAAGCCAAAAACACCGATGGTGGCCGTCCGCCGGCGTATGCGGCGGCGATCGGTCCCTAACCTGTCGCCCGCGGTCCCTAACCCAAAAGTGGTCCTTCGCGCTTTGGTCCCTAACCAAAAAAGCACGATTCTGAAGTTGGGCCCTCGATCCTCCCTCAGCTGGCCTTCCCGTCATGAGTGCCGCCCAAGCAAAAAGAATCTAGACCTGCACGGACCGTTTGTCAGGGGAGAGACGGTCTGCCTCGCGGCCCGTGTTTGTCAGGGAGAGACGGTCTCGTTGTATCCGCTTCTCTCTCGCGATGTCTGCACCGCCACGCCGCCGCTCGCGCCGCCTCGCCACCGCCTCCTCCGCCGCCGCACACCCGCCAGACACGCCGCCGCCCGCCCGCCTCCTCGACCTCCCCACGGACCTCCTCGAGCGCGCCCTCTCTCGCTGCGACAGCCCCGCCGACATCGCTCGCGTCGCGGCCGTCTCGCTGCTCTTCCACTCTTCGCTCGCGGCGGAGGGCATCCGCTTGTGGGCGCAAGAGCGCGGCTTCGAGCTGCCCGCGCAGCCAGAGGGCGAGAGCTGCGCCGTGCGGTGGCTGTGCTTCGCTGCGTTGCTGTCCGAGTCCAACCCGCCGGCGAGGGCGGCGGCAGGCCAACAACATAGCGTTTTCATCGACGGCGAGGGGCGGCTCTCATCGTGCGGAAAGGCTGAGAGCTGTGGCCTTGGCGAGATGCCGGGCATTCTCGGGCACGGCGAGGGCGTGACGCAGCTCAACACGCCAACCCGCCTCCCTTCGCCGCTGGGCGGCGAGAGCGCCGTGAGCGTGTCGGCTGGAACCGGGTCCAACCTTGCCCTCACCAGCAGCGGCGCCGTTTGGAGCTGGGGCCAGGGAGGCTGGGGCGCGCTGGGCCACGGCGACGAGCAGACCCAGCCGATGCCAAAGAAGGTCGAGGCCTTTGCTGGCCAGCGCGTCGTCGCTGTGTCGGCTGGACGCTACCACAGCCTCGCCATCACCGCTGACGGCGCCGTCTGGAGCTGGGGTTGGGATTCCGAAGGCCAGTTGGGCCACGACGACCAGCAGCACCAGCGGCTGCCGATGAAGGTCGAGGCCTTGGCGGGGCAGCGCGTCGTCGCTGTGTCCGCTGGAGCTGTGCACAGCTTCGCCATTACCGCTGACGGCGCCGTCTGGAGCTGGGGCGGTGGATTGTTCGGTAGGCTGGGCCACGGCGACCAGCAGTGGCAGCCGCTGCCGAAAAAGATCGAGGCCTTTGCTGGGCGGCGCGTCGTTGCTGTGTCGGCGGGAGCTAACCACAGCCTCGCCGTCACCGCAGACGGCGCTGTCTGGAGCTGGGGCTATGGAATCTTTGGCGAGCTGGGCCACGGCGACGAGCAGGACCAGCTGCTGCCCAAGAAGATCGAGGCTTTGGCTGGCCAGCGTGTCGTCGCTGTGTCGGCTGCAGGCTTCCACAGCTTCGCCATCACCGCCGACAGCAACCTCTGGAGCTGGGGCAGTGGTCTCCATGGCTGGCTGGGCCACGGCGACGATCAGACCCAGCTGCTGCCGAGGAAGGTCGAGGCCTTTGCGGGGAAGTGCGTCGTCGCTGTGTCGGCTGGAGCATACCACAACCTCGCCCGCACGGGCGATGGCGCTGTTTTTGCCTGGGGCAAGGGCCCTCCTCATGGCCTAGGACACGGAGAGGACCTGTCGGACCAGCTGCTGCCCAAGAAGGTCGAGGGGCGGGCGTCGGGGCAGTGATGAGAAGGGCGAATTGGCTCAGTGTAGCGCGTGTGGGCGACCGCCCTCCGGCCCGTGCCTGCCGCGTGCGCGCCCCGGCCGCCTGGGCCATGGCCATGGCCGTGGCCGGTGGGGCACTTGCGCCACTCGTCATTCAGAACACACGTCTCCCCAACGCCGGCGAAAGCGAAACAACGCGAGAATGCTCGCGTAAAATACTACCACCATTGATCGTCAGGTGGGTTCAAAATACAGGTCGCCCGAGCCCCGTGCGCCGCGCTCTCTCCTCCACAACACACACAAGGAGACAAGCGAGTCCGGTCACACAGTCCGTGTCACGCGTGCGCTCCCTCTCTGGCGCGCGTGATATGTGGACCCCAGAGAGAGAGAGAGAGAGTAACACCCGTGGCGCGCGCAAACCGCGGCCCCGCAAGACGGGCGCTGTGGCCCGCGCTCCACAATAGCCGTAATTCATTGTCCGGTATCGCGTCTCGAGCCATCTCGTCGCAACAGCCGTTGCTCTCCCCCCCCTCCCCCCCCTCTCCAACCCGCCTCTCGCGACCGCCTCCGCGCCGGGTGTCCCCTCGCGAGAGATGGGCTCAGCAGCCCGGCACCTTGCCGCCGTGCTCGTCCCGGATGTACCTACTCGTGGGCGTCGGCGCGTCAGCGCGCGCCCGGACTATGTGGAGCTCGCGCCGCCGCTACGCCGCTCACTCAATCAAGTCTGCGATGGAGGTGAGGACGAGCCCATGCTGCTCGCAGAAAGGGATCAGGTCTGCCACCCTCGCCTGCGGACGGGCGAGGGGGGCGAAGCGCGCTCAGAGGCCTCTCCCCGCCGCCCGCCGCACTGTGAACGCATGGCTATCAGTCGGCGCGTGCAGGGGCGCGCCATGCTGCCGTCGTCGTTGACCACTTCGCACAGCACGCCCGCCGGCTGCAGCCCCGCCAGCCGGCAGAGGTCCCCCGCCGCCTAGGAAGGCGCGGAGAAGGTGCACGGAAACGTCCCGCCCGTCGGCCACAGGGGGTGCGCATGCGCCTCGGTGTGTCCGTCGCGCTCGAGCACGCCGCCCGCTCTGGCGCGCAGTGGGAAGACGTGGCCGGGTCGGTTGAAAGCCTCCGGGCCGAGCGCCTGCACGCGGGGGAGGAGGCGCCGCTCGGCAGCGGCGCGGCTCGGGCGCCGAAACGGCGAGGGCGCACCGGGTCCGCGAGAGCGCGGAAGGTGGCTGCGCGCTCGGCGGCGGAGATGCCCGTCGTGGTCCCCGCCTTGAGGTCGACGGACACCGTGAAGGCGGTCCCCTTTGGGTCCTGGTTGCGAGAGACCATGGGCGGAAGCCGCAGGTCGTCGCAGCGCTCGCCGGGCAGCGCGACGCATATCACGCCAGAGGAGTGGCGCACGACGAAACCGACCGTCTCGGCCGTCGCCAGCTCGCCGGCGAGGATCAGGTCGCCCTCGTTCTCCCGCGACTCGTCATCTGTCACCACGATGGGCTGACCGCGCCTCATCGCCTCGATCGCCGCGACGACGCTCGCGCGCCCAAACTCGCCCGGCCTAGGGCGCTCGACCGCGGGCGCCGCCAGTCCGGTGGTGGGAGCGACCATCGTCGTCATCGCGGCGGCTAGCATGCCCGCGAGGAGAGTGGAGCACATGTACGCTTGGCTGGTTGGCAACGTGATCAGACCTCGCGCGACCCGTCTCGTCGTCGGCACCCTTGCGAGGCACCCTGAAGAAGAAACCGCGGCGGTCGAGAGAGAATGCGCGGGGTTTTTTTCTTTTCCGACTAGCTGCACCGCGCTAGCGCCGTGATGTTGTACACGTGGCTCGCCCTCGCCCTCGCCCTGTCACCGCGCAGCTTGTCCGTCCGGAGACGAGCCTCGGCCGCGCACAGCCGCCGCTGCGGGCCGCCCGTCGGCGCCGCGGATGTCGACATCTATGGCCGTGCGGTGCTGGCGCCGCTCGAGGCGTCCGCGTCGACGGCAGAGCCGGTGGTCAAGGTGTACTCGGTGCACTGCTCCGTCAACGTTGCCATGCCGTGGAGCAACAAGCCGCAGGAGGAGAGCACCGGCTCCGGCTTCACGATGCGGCAGCAGCACGACGGCCAACTCGTCATCCTGACAAACGCCCACTGTGTGGCCGATGCGACGTACGTGGAGGTGCGTAAGGCGGGCGACTCGCAGAAGCACGTGGCGCAGGTGGCGCGCATCGCGCACGAGTGCGACCTCGCCACTCTCACCGTGTCGGACGACGCCTTTTGGGAGGGCGTCGAGCCGCTCGAGTTTGGTCCGATGCCGTCGCTGCAGGACGAGGTTTCGGTGGTGGGGTACCCGGAGGGGGGCGAGGGCGTCTCGGTCACGCAGGGCGTCGTCTCGCGCATCGAGATCCAGCGGTACGCCCACTCGGGCGCCAACCTGCTCGCGGTGCAGATCGACGCCGCCATCAACCCTGGCAACAGCGGCGGGCCCGCCCTCAACGCCGAGGGTGACGTGATCGGCGTCGCCTTCCAGAACCAGCTCGACTCGCAAAACATCGGGTACGTCATCCCCGCGCCCATCATCGCCCACTACCTCGTCGACGACGCCCCCTCCGACCCGCGCCGCCCCGCCGGCTTCCCCTCGCTCGGCATCTTCTGGCAGGCCCCTCGACCAGCCGCACGCTCTTCTCGCCGCTTTGTGCTGCGATGTGTGACGACGGTGATTGTTGTCAGGCCCTCGACAACCCGCAGCTGCGAGCCTACCTCGGCATGGAGGGGCGCACCGGCGTCCGCATCCGCGGCGTCGCGCCCACCGCGCCCGCCGCGGCGCTCCTCCGGACAGGCGACGTCCTCGTCGAGCCGGACGGCTCTCAGTCGTGACTTGCTCCTCATCTGCGAATCAACTGCCAGGCGACGTCCTCCTCGAGCTGGACGGGCACGCCATCGCCAACGACGGCTCTTTTGCCATCGGGGGGCAGGAGCGCCTCCTCGAGCCAACCACCCGCCTCCTCGAGCCAACCACCCGCCTCCTCGAGCCAACCACCCGCCCCACCAACCAACCACCCGCACCCGCGCCCTCCCTCCGCGCCCCGACACCCCCCTCGGCGGACAGGAGCGGCTCTCCTTTGCGCACCTGATACACCTCAAGTTTGCGCACCAGACCATCGGCCTGCGCGTGCTGCGCGCGGGAGAGGCGCGCCACACGCACCTTGTCGCCCCGCGAGACGCGCCCGCGCTTGCTCGTCTCCCTCTGCCTCCGCCTCCGCCTCCCCCGCCACCCCCACCACCTCCTCCTCCTCCTCCTCCTCCTCCTCCTCCTCCTCCTCCACCACCACCAACCACCACCGCCTCGCAGGAGCTCGAGCTCGAGGTTAATTATATGTATTATTTAATTCTAGTATATTTAATGAGCAGGAGCTCGAGCTCGAGGTTAATTATATGTATTATTTAATTCTAGTATATTTAATGAGCAGGAGCTCGAGCTCGAGGTTAATTATATGTATTATTTAATTCTAGTATATTTAATGAGCAGGAGCTCGAGCTCGAGGTTCCCATATCTCCCCATATCTCCCCATATCTCCGATAGGAGCTCGAGCTCGAGGTTCCCGTGCGGCCGCTGCAGCGGCTCATCCCGCCGACCGCCTACGACGAGCCCCTCCCGTACTTCATCTACGCCGGCCTCGTCTTCGTGCCGTTCGTCGAGCCGTGCGCCGCGCTAGAGAGCCATCTCCCCATCTCTCCCATAGCCGTGCGCCGCGCTAGAGAGCACAGATTACCCGAGATTACTCGAGATTACCCGAGATTACCCGAGATTACCCGAGCCGTGCGCCGGGCTAGAGAGCACAGCGAGCACGGGCGGGAGGGCCCTCTGTGAGCCTCCCCGGACCACCCATCCCCTTGCCGGCTGCCCCGCCGCTCCTCCGAGCAAAAGCGTCTGTTCGCCGGCCGGTGCTCTCCGCCGCGACGCCTCCGCGACATCTCCGCGACATCTCCGCGACATCTCCGAGACATCTCCGCGACATCTCCGCGACATCTCCGCGACCCGCAGGTACCTGCACGAGTGGGGGGACGACTGGCAGCAGGACGCGCCGCACGAGCTCGTGCAGCTCGTGCTGTCTGGCGCGCAGAGCGAGGCGGCCGAGCAGCCAGTGCTGCTTTCGCGCGTGCTCCCCAGCCCGCAGACGGCGGGGTACCTCACGCTCGCCGACCGTCGGGTGCTCTCCGTCAACGGCGAGCGCGTCCTCAACTTGAGGCAGATGCACGCGCTCGTGCAGCGGCTGCAGGCCGAGTGCGACCACCTCGCCTTCGAGGTGCAGTGCGTGGGCGGACCCGCCGTCATCGCCATCGACACGTCGACCGCCGAGCAGGAAGCGAAGGCGATCCTGGAGACGTACCGCATCCCCGCCGCCGCATCCCCGGACTTGTGCGGTCAGTCTGAGACTGACGCGCAGTCCGGACAGCCCAGACTGTGACGGACCCCGCGGCACGGGAGCGAGAAAACAGCGCCCGCCGCCGGGCGCCGCACCGCGTGTGTACGAGTAGATGTGTGCGGTGCGACCCGCCGCCGCGGGGGGGTCAGCGCGTCCCTCTGTGACCTCAACGAACAACTGAGGACAAATATTACATTTACACTCTGGGCCGGCGCCCGCGGGGGGCCCAGAGGGTGTCCATGCGGGGGGGAGATGGGGTCCCATGGCCCGCCGCAGGCGCCGATTTTTTGGAGTTTTTTTTCGCGATTTTTTACTTGTTTTCATGGCGGGAATTCGGCGTACTTGCGGCCATGCTATCACGCCTTGCGACAGCCTGTCGGCGCAGCTGACCGTGCCATGATGCACAATTGATCACCTGCATAGCTCGCGGCCTTAGTATTAAGCATTCAGTGACGACCTGATCGTACGGCCAGTAGGAAGGTGTCCTTCCAGCTGCGTGCACGCTTCTGGCGCAATGCGCGTCACCTCGGATGGGCTGCTGGCACTCTCGAGGCTATGCCTACACAGCCTCGCGCGCATGGGCAGTCAAGAGGGACCATGCACCTTCTCAGGACAGCGCCGGTGCCTCTCTCTTGGACCGGCAAACTTGGTGGTCTCGTGTCACCAATGTGGGACCAGTGCGGCGTCGCGCCATCGACAGCTCTGAACTGCGCCTCACCACTGACCGGGAAGGCCGCCAAGTGGGCCAGCACAGGTCGCACATTGTGGCAGCAGTCAGCAGTGCATGGCTGATAGCTAGAGCAGCAGCGTCAGGGTCGCAGGGTCGGATCGTGTCAAGCCTCTCGCCCGGCCGGCCGCGTGTAGACGTCGGCCTGTCTGCTGTCTGCAGTGATCTGTCGGCGGTCAGTACGACCGATCAGGTCGGAGTTTTCTGATGGTTGGAGGGTCTATCTGTATGTACTCCTCGAGATATCTCCAAATCTGCCCTCTGATTAACCTAGCTTAATCGGGAAGTCGGTGCTCATAGAGACTCATAGAGCCGGAGCCCAGCCCCGTTTCCGCACTGCTGCGCGGCGCACGGTGTGGGCCGGGGGCCCCCGCGCCGGCCCAGAGCATTTACACCCAGAGCAAAAAAGCGAGAACGCGAGATGCGAGTTGTGACTCAATGACATTGTGTGACGAAAACCGTGTGTCTCGATTACACGAATTACAATTACGAATTAGGAATTACCCCGCGCGTTCGTTTTTTATGTATGTAAAAAATAGTGGAACCAGAAGATCGGACAGGGGAGGACGCGGCCACAGAGAGGGCGGGCGCCGGGTTTCGAAAGCCGGCGCTTTCGCGCGTTCGAAGGGACTTCCGAACGACTTCCAGCTCGGAGTTTGTGTAAATTTGGGGTCGGCCTTCCCTTCGCCTGCGGCGAGATGGCACCGCAGGCGGCGTGTGTGCGAGGGTGGCGGCGTCCAGCGCCGAGCAGCACACCACGAGCGCGAGCGGCAGCGCCGACTACGCGAGGCGGCGGGCGGCTCGACCGAGCCGGCGGCGGAGGAGGCGACGGACGTCCGAGGTGGTGAGCGCCGCGGATGTGCTGGCCGGCGTGGAGGAGAGCGGCCCGAACTGCGCCCTTCCGGCGGCGAGGGAGGGCCAGAGGGAGCGGCGGGAGCGGCTGCGGGTGGACGAGACGGCGAAGCAGGCGAGGCACACCGTAGCCCGAGGGTTTTTTCTTCTTTGTGAGGCGCCGTCGCCAAATGGAGCCCGTTGTTGGCGGCGAGACGGTGCCAGAGGAGGTCGTGCTTGCGGCTAAGAGAGGAGAAACGACGACGGCGCTGGCGTGGCTCGACGGCGGCGGGCGGGTCGACGCGACCTTCGAGTACACCTTTGATGGCGGTTCGTTTTCGATCGGCATGACGCTGCTGATGCTCGCAATGGCCAATGGCCACGCGGGGCTGGCTGAGGCGCTTCTGCGGCGCGGCGCGGACGTCGGCGCGGACGTCTCGTTGCAGAAGAGCGACGGCGGCACCGCGTTGAGCCTCGCCGCCGTGAACGGCTACGAGAAGCTGGTCGAGCTGGCATTGCGGCACGGCGCTAAGATAAACCAGAGAAGCCGCACGACCGGCGGCACTGCGCTGATGAACGCCGCCTACAAAGGTCACGAGCGGATTGTCGACATGCTGATCCGGCATGGCGCGGAGATCGACCTGCAGAACAACGACGGGGACACCGCTCTGATGTTCGCCGCCGTCAACGGCCGCCCCGCCGTGGTGCGTCAGCTGCTGCGGGCGGGCGCTGACATGACGCTGCGCTCTCAGGAGGGCAATACCGCGCTGCAATGGGCCAAGGAGAAGGGCCAAACCGAGTGCGTGCGCGCCTTCGGGGAGCATGAGGCGGCCAAGGCGGCGGCCGAGAAGGCGGCGAAGGAGGCGGCGTGGGCTGCGGAGGCGGCGGAGAGGGCGGCGGAGAGGGCAGCGAAGGAGAAGGAGGCGGCGCGGCACGCCGAGGAGCTGCTGGCGGAGGTCGAGGCGGAGAAGCGCGCCAAGGGCAAGAAGGGCAAGAAGAAGAAGAAGGGCGGAGGGACAGGCGGGGCTGGGCCGTCGCAGGAGACAGAGGAGGGTGCCGAGGCGCCGTCGGAGGCAGACGCAGCCGAGGCCGCAAAGAAGGCCGAGGAGGAGAGAATTATCAGGCTTCTCGAGCAGTGTCACGAGGAGCGGATCCGGCTCGGCATCACGGCGGAGAGCCAGGCGGCGGCGTCGGCAGAGGTGGCCGAGGCTGTGCGCTTGGACGCTGAGGCGGACGAGGCGGAGGAGGAGGCGGAGGCGGACGAGGAGGAAGAGGCGGCGGCCGAGGCGGCGCTGGCGGATGCCGAGGTGGCGAGGGCGGAGGCCAGGGCGGCGCATGCAGAGGCCAAGGCGGCGCTGGAGGAGGCCAAGGCGGCACTGGAGGGGAGCGAGGCGGCGCTCGAGGAGGCGGCGGCCGCTGCAGACGCGAGGCGTGCCGCTGCGACCGCTTCGAGGGCCAGGGCGGCTGCAGCCAGGACGGCGGCGGAGGCAGCGCAGCGCTCGTAGAGAGAGAAGAGCGCTTGGGGACGTAGCGTGTCGTCGAGCCGGCGGACGTTTGATGTGGTTGTACCTCGGTCCTCGCTCTGCGCCCCCCCCACGCGTGTGTGAGGGGTTGATAGTCGCACTCGCAGAGGCGCGGCTCGGCATACGGCAAGCACGAATATAGTGTTAAGAAACACGTACGCAGCTTTACAGTCGTACTGCAGTCGTACGGTCGTTGACCCGCCCACCGTGTGGCCTGGGCCGCCCGGACCCCAGAGCTGCTGCGCGTGCAGACAGCGTTGCGCGAGCGTTGGAGAGGCCAGCCTCCGGCTTCTCAGCGTGCTGTGTCTCTATCTGCCTGGTGGATGGGTGTGGTGGGGGACTCCCTCGTCGCTTTTCGTTACAAATTTACGGAATTACGGATTTACGGATCGACCCCCCGTCCCTCCCCGTCCCGCGGCCCGGCCGTGAGACGCCGATCTACGAATCAAGTTGGTGCCGGAATATCACACCCTGGCGATCCGTACACGGCGGTCCCCCCCCCCCCGCAAACACACACAAGCGTATCACGCGCCGTCACGCCGCGGGACGGCGAGACCGCGAGAGACCGGGCGGACCGCGACACGCGACACCGTCCGCGAAAAGAGACTAAGAGAGAGCGACTGAGCAGCGGCGTCCGAGTACAAATAACCCAACACGCGATCTCGCGTCGTTATCCATATCGACAACACACAACCACACACACACCGCGCCACACGCCCACACCGGGCCTCGAGCACCAGGCATTTATCGACGACATTTTGACACGATTACGACGCCTCACTTATCACCCCACAAGCGGCGCGTGTCGCCAGCAAATCACCATATCAGCAGTCGGGCACTGGAGCGCGCTTCGGCAAGCACGTCCGATTGATTCGCACACAGGACGAGCGAGACCAAAGCGGCGCTTTCCGCCCTTCCGGGATCTGGTGCGGCGTCTGCCCCGACTCCTCACTTGACGAGCGCAGCAAATGGGTCGTCGGCCGGATCGGTCGAGGGGACGTACTCGGCGCGCTTGGCCGCCGCCTCGCCGACACCAGCGCCCAGCAAGTCCGAGGCAAGCCAGACGGCCATGTCCAGGCCCGCCGCCACGCCGCTGGATGTCGCACAAAGCTTGCCGCCGGTCCGGTCCGCCACCCAGCGCGCCCGGGGCGTCCATTCGACCGTCGCCGCACGCTTGCTGCTCTCCGTCACCCACGCCCAGCCCCGCTTATTTGTGGTCGCCTTCCTGCCATCGAGCACGCCGGCCGCAGCGAGCAGCGCAGAGCCGGTGCAGACAGAGGCGACGGCGGCCGAGGCGTCACACAGGAGCGCGAGAGTAGCGAGGAAGGGCTCGTCGCCAACGAGGGCACGCGTGCCCTGGCCGCCGGGCACAAGCAGCAGATCCCACTTCTGGGAGAGCGCCTCGACCAGGGAATGTGAGGCGACAACGGGCACGCATGAGCGAACTTCGAGTTTAGCCGCTTCGCTCTTGCATGCTTCGCTCCCGACGACGCCTCCACGGACGACGCCGTTTGTCGGCGCTGCGATGGTGACGGAGTACCCTGCGAGCAGCAGCAGCTCGAGCGGCCCGAAGGCGTCAAGCAGCTCGAAGCCCTCAAACGCAACCAGGAGCAGCTTCGGCATTTGCTTACGCTGCTGGGATGGGGCACGCTGCTTCTCCGGCGACTTGAAGCAGCGTGAGGGGGAGATGGGAGAGATGCAGCGCGTGAGCGTGTCGACGAGCATTGTTGGGCTCGAAACGGCGCTGATGACCGCACTCGATGGCGGTTCGACGATTTCTTTCTTTTCTTTTAGCTGGAAGGACAATGACCGCCGTGAACCCTGTGATCAGCTCCAGGATATTTGTTGTAGGCACCGTAACACCAAAAAACTACTATGTCTTCGAGTGAAAAGTAATCCGAGCAAAGCCGGGCCGCAGTGAATTAAAAGGGGCGATTTTCGAGGGGGGACCTGGAGAATCTGGGAATGTGCTCACCACGGACCCCCACCTCATGTCATCGAAAAAAAATTCACTGCAAGACAATAAGAAAAGAAAGCAAGACATAGATCATAGACATAGTACTTTTTTGAGGTGCTCTACAAGCTAGGCACAAAAGAAAGGATATTGCAGGCCATTTAGCCCCCCCCCCCTTAGACGGTCACTGAGTAGGCTGGGCCGGGAGCAACCTTAACCTTAAGGACAGAGTCCCCCCACCTTGATCCTTGTCCTTCCGATATGCAGATAGGCGAGATACAGATAGCGCCCCTCGGCGATCATCGTTTTCAAGCATACATCGAGATCTCTGCGGGACACCAGTAGATTTGTTGAGTGGAGATCGTAGATGCCGATCAGAGGATCTTCCACACACAGCATCTCTCACAAAACTCAGAGATCTTTAACTGAAGATAGAGATCTTGAGCTGCCGCCATCGGCACCTCGAGATCTCAGGCCGGAGACGGAGATGTTGACTTCGCGCCAAAGGCGCCTCGAGAATCGTGTGGCCGACTGGAGATTGCAAAATGGCGCGAAAAGAGGGTGGAGATCCGCTTGAAGGTGTGAAAGGAAAAGAGCATCCCCTTGGACGGACATCGATCCCCCCCTGACACGCCTCCCCCACGAGATTGGAGATTGGAGATCGGAGATGAAGATCGGAGAACGCGCCTCCTTGTTATGAGCGCGCCGCGATGGAGCTCACCTCGTTAGTCTCTGGCATGACCGAGTTCGCCGCGAACCTGTATCCTCTAAAGACCGAGGAGGAGCTCGTGGCGCTCCTGAGCGGCATGCACCACTTCCCACCTGGCGTGCCTGAGCGTGCCCGTCGCGTCCATGAGCGGCTGCCCGCCGGGTCGGCACGGAGGGAGGCCTTGACGGGTTGTACAAGCATCTCGCGCACACCAAGGAGGACCTACATTTCGTTCCGAGCACCAACACGGAGGCCGCGGAGCAGGCGTGTCGAGCCGCCCTCTCGGCCTGCACGCGTTGCCCCCTTGTCACATGTACAACATGCACTCAAATCCGCCTGATAGGCCTTCGTCTTTCTCGCTCGCTCGAAGCACATCTTCCGCCAAAAGGTCCTTCCCCCCCCCCTCCCTCTTCCCCCCCCCTCCCTCCCCCCCCCCCCCCTCCTCTCCCTCACACAAAATTATTTGTTGATGGCAGCGCGAACCACACGATAACGCCCCCAGCTCGGCGTACATAGACCGCGCGCGCAGCGCGCTCCGTGTTTGCATACCGCCCTGGCGGACTCGTTTACACTTCCTAGCTCAAGCCAGGCGCCGCAGGCCATAAAGAGGAGCGCAGATTAAAATGGCGCCGCAGGCTCCCCCGGGCCGTCCGCGCACCAGTAACCTTTAAAAAACAAAAAGATCATCACAGCGGCCTCTGTGATCACCAATCTCCAATCTCCAATCTCCAATCTCCAGCGTCGACACATCTTAGGCCGGATCCAGTCAGATCTCCAATCTCTATCTCCAATCTCCAATCTCCAGCGTCATATTTTGCCGGATCCAGTTTAGATCTCCGATCTCCATCTCCAATCTCCAATCTCCAATCTCGATTCGGGGGGCCGTGGGAGGGGGGGGGCTCGAACCTTCAAGGAGATGCGCTATTGATTCATTCACACCGCACATCTCCGATCTCCGATCTCCAATCTCCCATTTGACCCCTGCCGCCGCCAGCTGCGATCTCCAATCTCCAATCTCGATCTCCAATCTCCGCCCCAGTGGTGGATGCCCGGCGCGAGGATCTACGATCTGTGTTCTCCATCTCCAATCTCCACCTTTGACCCTGGCAACTGCCAACACGATCCACAATCTGTGATCTCAATCTTTCATCTTCAACCAAGCCCGACTGTGTGGTAGAATCGGCTAGGATCTCCACTCCTGGTCTGCGATCTACTGTCTGCGATCTACTACTCTCTCGCAGAGATCTCGATTACTCCAACAATAATGCTATGCTCTCACCCAGCCTTTTGAGATATGATCCCTCAAAGTCGAATTTTCGTTTACTGGTGACCATAGTACCGTTTGTCTTGTTTGCGTTTGTTCAAACGAATCCTTTAAAGTCTCGACAATCACTAAGCTGCTTATGTGGCACCGCAGAGGCTCCCTTGGGGATGCCTGAAACCCCGAAAATTCTGCGCTACTTTTTTCGTTTATCCACATTATGCGAGTAGTAGACACCAGACACTAGCACGACCACAGACACATTCCTCACTGACATCACCGCTTGGGACCCCCCGCTCCGATGAAACACGCGTTCGGGCCAGGCTCGCGGCCACAATGGCGGTGCCGGTGGCCCCAGACCAAGCCGTGATCGCGCTCGGCGTCATGAGCACCGTCGT